GCCCCACTCAAGCAGGGCAGCTCGAGTATCCGCGACGCCAGGGCTCCCCGCGCCCGACCAGCGCCCGTAATGGGAAACCAGGCACTGCTCAGGCCTGTCAGTTATTGCCTGGGGCAACAGGGACAGCCTGGGAATTCCTAATGTTGGTGACTTCATCTGCCAGCTGCATTCACACATCTTTACTACCTGAATAACTGATCTCCGCTACTCCAAGGCAGCACTTTCTGGTGTACAGCATTCGGGAATAAATATTTGATGGCGCATACAACAGAAAAGAGCTCAGATGGTTTAAGGTGTGACAGCAGAAGTGTTTATTAAATTCCAAGGGAGAGCATTGTTGGACAATAAAAATTTGTCCCATGGTCCCTATCTCACAGGTGTGGTGATGAAGAATAAAAGACCCTTCACAAGCAGAGGGGAAGGGCAGAGGGGAGGCAACCTCCCTCCCCCACAAAACCCAAGTCAGTTCTTCTGTTCATTAAACCCTCTGCAGGCAAGGAGCTATCTGTCCAGGATCAGCCAGTCGCACACAAAACAACGGGAAGTACTAAGTTACAAGCCAATTTTAAGTGGGCATTGATTGAAGTAACCAGAAGAGAGCTGAGTATTGTCAGAGTTTCATGCAACAGTAATAAACAATCTTCATTAAAGAATGATGTGTGCAGCCCGAAGAAGCACAGCACATGGCGGGTTTCAGAGAAGAACAGAAAGGTTCCCCCGTCCCGCCCCACACACAAAGAGCAAAAGTGCTCAGGATATTTTTCTAATACAATTTAATTTTATTCATTAAAACCCTTCCCACTCTAACTTCTGTATTTGTCCTAAGCAAGAAAGAAACGAATCTCCTCTGAGCAGGAAAAGGCTGATGGAAAACAGAGATCAGACAACATCTTTGTCAACATCCACCTACTCTGCCAGCAATCCAACAAAATCACTCCCTGACTGATGGATAAGTGTCAAAAACCTCTTCACATCAGAGAATAAACAAGGCTTTTCGTAAATACACCCAGAGACGCACACACTTTTGTTTTAACCGAGCAGGACTGAGTTAACAGCTTGGACCAAGCATACCTGTGTACCCGAGCCCTTCGGCACATTTGTTGCAGTTTAAGAGGAACACTTGCCCTTACAGACTCAACACAGCTGCGTGAGCAAATTCAGTGATGTGATGAGGAACTGCTCCAAAATCCTTTCTCTGGAGGTTTTCCCTTTCTGGAAGGTCAGAGTTGTTGTTCCATACAGATATCCTAGCCTTCCTACACCCATTAATTTATGCATTATTTATTATTAGTAGAGTTCTAATCAGGTTTGATTTTTTCAGGTATGTAACATATATAATGTGCATCATTCATCCATAGGTTATAGTAAAAAAATTCAGAAAGGTGCCTGGAAATATTCAATCACATGTCTAGCCTATGCCTACATTTTCTAAATTAGTTTCCATCATTCTGTAGATATCCTCAGGTAGCCAAAAATCATATCTAAAGCCAGTCCCAACTAAAGAGAGGAACAGCATTCAAGGTATACAGGTAATCTAATGTTTCTGAGTCACACCTACAGAGTGGTCTTCTGAAATCAAGCCAGTAGATTTTTTTTTTTTTTTGGTTGCAGTACAGATTTCCATCTCAGGGTGGGCTGGTTTAGTTGTGTGAAGAGTGTGAGCTTCAGCATCTCCTGCAGACAGGGCAAATGTAAGGTTTCTCTTCATCTGTGGTGTCCAATAACTTCTTACACGTAACCTGACTTACTGAGAGCCTCTCCCATCCACCCTGCTATCCAAAACCACAAAATTTAGATACGTGACCTCTGTACCCTCACCCTACTTTGGTTAAACTCAATGCGACCAGCCAGCAGCCCCAGCACTTCTTCAGAGAGGACGGACACACACACGGGCACACGCGCCTGCCTGCTACACACCGTGTGCATTTACTGGGTGTACCGTAGGGCTTCTTTCATTCCGTTATTACTAAAGGCTTCCTGCTTTATAAAGCTTTCTGCTCAGTGTTGTCCCTTTAACGTTTCTAACTGCCAATCTGGAATAGCATCTGGAATTACAGCACATTTAATCCTTGGGGGTATATTCTCTCTGGGATGCATCTGACTAAAATGTGTGCACTAAGGGACAAATGTCCAGTAGCTTTAGGTGACTATGTTTTTGCAAACTTTTTTGAAAGATTCCATTTCAAAAAAAACCCAAAAGAAACCAACAGAGAATATCTTAGCACAATTCTGAGATAATCACACCGAAATATATGTTTTTAAAATGTATACAAGTAATCTTTACAGACACAGCCATCCACCTTGAAAATACCATTTTTGCAGATGATCTTTTGGCTAATATTGTCATATAGTATACCATAGTTTCACAGATGTGAAAATAATGATTTAAAAAAAATTACACAAATTTCAGTTGTCACCGAGGGAGGAGAAGGAAGGGAGCTGTCAGGAATGGCAGAAGAATAATGGGAGATGACAAACATGTACTTGAAATCTTTTGATAGGAAGAAAAAGCAATGGAGTTAGATAAGACAAGGCGCCACGCTGGTTGTATCTCTAAGCAACAGGCAATCAAACAGCCAGATAAGCATCTTCATAAAGTGCAACAAACTCAAACGCACGGGTCACAACCAAAGAATCACTTCCTGGTTCAGCTTAGGTAGTAAAAATTTATGACCTACTTAAAAAAAATCCTTCAAACCTAAAAACGTATTTTCCAATAAATTTGTTTTCCACAAAGAATGTAAGCCATTTAGGGCATGCCTTGGTAATAGCAGGAAATGAGAATGCTTAACAGTAGTGGACTCTAACACAAAAAATGCCATGTCGTACATGAACAGCATTTAAAATAAAACCTTTAAGATTCAGAGCTGAGCTTAATGTAATTCTCTGCACATCTCATAGGTGGGAAGAAAAGAAAGCGAGCATAAAACACTCTTCTCCCCTTTGCTGGGCCCTGCTACAAGAATACTAGGAGATCTCAAAGAACAGCGCATGTTTTTTCTTGGGTCTCCTTTACTCTAGCAGAATTCACACCCCTGTACAGTCACACATAATCTGGCATATCTACCCTGAATTTGGACCAATAATTTCTGCATGGGAAACGACGAGGATCAGGCAACATGAAACCTACAAATAGATGGTAAAGTCCCTGAATCAAAAATCAATTCAAATCCAAACTGTCTGGCAGCGAAGCTAAATAAAATACTGCTATCAGCATGTCCCTAACAAAATCCATGTATTGTTTATAAGAAACTTATGAGGTGTCATAACAAAACTGAGTCACTGCTGTACAGTAAATATATTTTCAGTGTCATAACAATGTATACAATTGACTCTGGCAATTTTAATATGGACACACATGTTAAAGGCATTACCAACAGAGCTTCATCACATTCACATGAGCCCTTCGTCCTAAGGCCCCATCCACCCGACAGGGAAGGTTGTTTAGCAGAGAGGAGGAACAGTCCTCCATGGTTCATTGTTTCTAGCCTAGATGGAACTGCCCCGTTTCAGAATGGTTCTATTCCAGAACTATCACACATCCATGCTACAGGTAACGGCACTGCTCCCTTCATACACAGGAGAAAAAAAAAAGAAGAACCCTAATAAGGCAGCTATCTCTATCTGTATCAGCTGGCACGGTCCCATCGCTGGTGAGGAACAGCTATGCCATTAATCACCCTGAATCTGAAGTGTCAGATACACAGACAGAAGCACTCCTATGATTCAAGCTTGTAACCTTTTAGGGGTAATAAGCATAGATGAACTGGTCCAAAAAAAATCATAACTGATGCATTTATGTTTTCTTCTGTATCAAACAATCATTTTCAAAATTACTTCACCATGTACTAAAACAAAGAAAATTCCCTTTAAATAACCAGCATCAGATGTTTGTCTAAGCTCAACAAGAATTAATTTAACCAGTTTTAAATATTTGAAAATGGAATTTATAATGACAATCCGCAATATCCAAAGTAAATGTAGTTATTATTGAACTCAGTTATAAACACATCTAAAAAATATCCTGTTATACACAAATAAATTAATTTGGCAAACAATGCAATATCTTGGACTCAGAATTTATATCAATAGCAAACAGAATCTGGAACAGGAGCTTTTATTTGAACTCTCTTAAAAACAACCTTCAAAACCCAGTTTCTGTATGTGTTACAGTCTCTTTTTACAGTTTAACCTCAATCCAATCAGCAGTCTCCAGGGATTTTCAAATCGCTAAAGATTAAAATCCTCTCTGACTTGACTGTTTGACTAATGCTGTGTGTTTAATAATTCTACTTGTGAGAGATTTTATTTGACAAAATCCTGCTGTGTGGACCCTTCAGACGCTATACAGCTGTACTAGAATATAAAGCTCCGCTGTCCCTGTTTCTTTATACAGACGACACCCCACCACTGGGAAAAAAGAAGAAAACTTTATAGTACATATATTACTGTGTTGATATTAACATAATCACTGCAGTATTAAATTTACACGCTCTTTTAGAGCAGAGTAGTGAAAACGTGCCTATTACACAAACATTAGATAAACTATGCTGTTGTCTCGACTGTTCACAGAAATCAATTACATTTATGATTACATTTCAATGAAAGCTATTTTATAAATGAGATGGAACTGCAATATTCTGTGCTTTAGGCACTCATTAATAAAAGCATTTCAGCATTAATATTTGCAAATACAGTTCTGCTGTTCAGCTTACGCAGACTTTACCACTCTATACTTTATGTTAAACTTAATTTAAATATTGTGTTCATATCTTACCACAATACTGTGACTTCAGACTGGAGTAGTAAGAGGAAAAAATCATTATGGTACTTTCAGTAAGTATTTGTATAAGACAGCACTTACCCTACTGTGCAGCTGAAAATCATGACATCCTTTTAAGTACATAGCAAGGGTTAGTAAATATGTTATCAGACAAAAAAAGACAAGATTGATGAACACCATGAATATCAAAGGAAACACAAAATCAACATGTTTCTACCTGAGGTAGCGTCAATCACTGTTGAAACTCCTCTGCGATCAGAAACTGGACGTGATGACCCCGGCATGCTAACAGGTTCTGACCGAACTGGCTGAATCCTAAACAATAAGTTATAGTTACCACCTGTGTCAAAAGAATTGCTCATGAGGGCTGCAATTAAATCACAAACCTGAATCAGCTGAACCAATTAAGCAACTATTTATTTTTAAATCAGCCAACTGTTGATAAATTGCATGTTTCTTGCCTTTGCAGAGCCAAAATTTGGATAATCCATGGACAGAAGACTGAGACTCTACACAAAGCGAGTATCCCCTAACTATGTCTCAGATGTGAGCACTCAGGAAGCTTCAAAGGAGAAAGCTCACGCACCCCAAACTGGTTAAAAAGCCTCTATCACCCTCCTGAACAGCAGCATTTTCGTTGTCAGTTTAGGAGAAAAGACACATTTGTAATTGTCTGTTTATTTTGTAATGTATATCTATTTTTTTTAATTTCTGCTTTCTTTCTGCATATGTATACATATATACACAATACAAAAATTATGTGTTTGATGGCTATATCCTTACTTTTGCAAGTAATTACATGCAAGGAGAAATCACACACTTCAAACCCATATATTTTCAGTCCCAGGACAATCTGCCCAGTTTTAATGGGATTAGTCATATTATCCAGCTCTCTTGTTTAATCATAAGAGTTTCAGACAGAGTCCCAAACAATCCAAGTCCATACCGCAGAACTTTGGACTTCAAATCACATGCAGAGTCAAAAGCACGGAAACTCGTTAAATGTGGGGAGTTACTGGACAGGACACGGAAACACATGGTGCATAAAACACTTCTACAAAATCGCTAGCTCTCAGTAAATATAAACCCATATTTACCTTCGCTCTCCTTCCTTCTTCCCTAGGCCCACCCTCTGCCCCCGATTCCAAATCAGCCAATGTCCAAAACCAGATGAATTAAAGACATGAAAAAGAATTACAGGGAAGGAAGCAAAGGAAGGGGGAAAAAAAAAAAAAACAGGGAGGGGAAAAACATTCCAGAAGTTCACTTATTGTTCCAACACACTGACCACGTCACAGTCAGCATCTAAATCTATGGCATAAAGCTCCCACTCATGTCTGAGAAAACGAATTTATTAAGCAATGCAGAAACTGCGAAAGCCAAGACGACACTGAGCAAGGCCACCACCGGACACTGTACTGTCTGTCACTGTCATTTAGCCAAGAAGGGACAGCAGAAAGGAATCTAAGCTGCTTGGCCACGGATGAATTCTTGTTGTTGTCAAGTCACACGCTCTTCTAAGGCTTTCATGTGGACAAGCTTGATGAAACTATTACGCGTTCTACACAGATGGCCTCATTTAAGCATGAGGGAAACTATTCGCACAACAAATGTGAAACAGGTTGGAAATTGCTTTTATTTTTACCTGAGACTGTTGAGATCCAGATCATCTGTATCGAAGTCCAGAAGAGGCTGCGGGGTATCACTCGGACCGTGCGACTGCAGCACTGAGGAACTGGACGAGATGACGGTGGTCTGGCCTGAGGGATGGATCGTTTTGAACTGGAACTGTGGGCCCATCCACAGGCGTCGATGAGGCCCCGTGTGAGTCACTATTTCCACCTGTGGGAAGACAGTGAAACGCTTAACAAAAACTTGCAATATACTGACTGGTTTCTTCAATACCCTGAACCTCCAGAATCCTGCTGTTCTCAAGCAAAAAGAGTGTTTTGTGCCATCAGGTCAGAGGAAAGCTGAACAAGGGACAATTCTGAACACCTTTGCTAGAGAGCGATGCTCCAGCCAGAGCCTAGAGCTTCTTGTGGAGCCTTGAAAGCCCCTGAACCACCAGCTTGAAGACACTGCACCCTGGTTCTTCAACTGTTCTGCAGAACGACAGTCCATCCTGGCTGTCACTTCGCCTGACGCTGCTCGTTCCTCCCCTTGCCATTACAAAATGCGCTCTGTAACCTGAACACTGCAAAGCTACTCTTGTGGCAACAAACAGAGGAACACGGTTCCACCTGCATCTACACGGAGCAGACAAAGGAACGGACCCAGTCCACCTCCCCCAGACAACCTCAGTCCTGACCAGGTCAGAGGACGCACTTCTAAAGGGCGAGCTGCCACGGCTTTGCTACGGCGGCTTCCTCAGAGCTCCCACATTCAACAGCGCTGCTCCACGTGTACATAGCACAAACCGTTATTTCAAATCAGAGCTCCTAATGCCTGTTGGCACATCTGAGGATACTGCTGGCAGAGACCATCTTGCTGGGAAGCAACGAGATCTGTAACAGAGAGCCATGTGAAGCGTGCCGTGAGCCCCCGGCAGCCCAGGTCCGGCTCACTGCCCCGCAGATGTGATGTAACGCACACGTGCAACGCATGGGGATCAGAAGGGCACCTACACACACACAGGCATTCATTTAACCGAAATGCTGACAATGAAGAGAGAAGTGAGGGTGTTTGCTTGCAATGCACAACCCTACATCTATTCTGTATCAGGCATGTATATGTGTCTCTGTGTACATGGATGTGCAGACACACACAGCCACAGAAGCTCCGCAGTCCCACGCCTACTTCCGAAAGGCACAGGGAATGCAGGCGGTGTGTCTAACACACTAAAATTTCAAATACTCAGGTTTTCTTCTAGGTATTGGCTCCCGGTGAGAGTCTAGATATGAACATTTGAATAATAAGTTCTTTCAGTACATGAAGCACGCAAAATATTTTAAAAACATCTTTTCACACCGCTAACTATAAACCTGATGGGTATCAATTCTGGCAAACTCTCAAATGAGCCAACGCTAGGAATTCAAACAACCATGAGAATTTCAGATGGTTACATTGCTGAAAACATACAATCAGGAAAATTTGGCCTTGCAAATAAAAGGGTAAACAAAGCGTAAGTCTTCTATAACACAATTTTAAAAATCAAAAAGGCCCTTAAAGATCAGAAAAAGGAAATATGAAAGGAAAATATTAAGCTCTGGTGAAGTCATACTTTTAAGATGACAAAAATAGACCACTAAATTCCTGTTGATTTCTGCTAAAATAATGATCAGCTTCACAGGAAAAATGCAACTTAGTGAGGAAATTAATTATAAGATATTTTTTGCATGTATCTGACATAGATGTGTACTAGCAGTGATTCCTAACTCTTTAAGAAGCAATTTTAAACACTGGATAGTGTTGTTCTAAGTTCTCTGCTAACGTAAGATGACAAATGCGCAGCCTATTTAGCACTATTTCCATCTTTGCATTTATCTTGGTGTAACTCAGATCGACTGTAGATGTTTCTGAGACAAGTAGCTTTTACGTAGCAGTGTAAATTAGGCCACAGATAAAGTAATCTGTATATTTTAAGCTTGAAACCATCAGTGTCACAGAGCCGAGAGGTAAACAGATGCCTTTGCAATTTTACTGAGGCTACGGCCAGATGTTCCTATTCACTCTCCTGTTGTGTGCAGGACAAACATATTGTATCTACTTCACACTGACAGCACACATTACCCCCTGTTCTAATTGAAAAGTTGAAGTGAAGGGCAGTGTTTTTTCACTGCATGCTGTTACTGTTGATAACAACACTTTAATTTTGAAAAACATACTTGCACTTTAGGCTTAATCTAAAGTGGCTTGCTTGGAGAATGCTAAGCTTCTTCATGTTCAAACGAGCTATCGTCACTCTTTTCCCTTAGCAAAAATGAAACATTCCGGAAGCATTCTCCGAATTATCTGTCCGCTGTGACATCACTTGAGATTTTTTTTTTTTTCATATAAATATACTTACTCTTCTAGAGGGTTAGATGTGATGAAGTTGAAGCAGTCTTAGGTTCCTTTGACATTTTATATCTTCCAAGAATTCGTAATAAACCGACCCCTATAATGTAGGTTTACCTTGCTCTCTTTCCTGAGGTTGCACACTATACCAGAAACTCACCAGAAAAGTGAAATAAGCTGAACTATCCCAACAGCACTGGAGAGGAAAACTGGAGGTGGAAAACTACAGGTGAAATCTTGGCTCCAATGAGCTCAGTGATAAAATTCCTTCTGACTACACTGAGTAGTTTCGCCATCTTTATGCTCTGACAAATTACAGACAGCATAAGAAAAGAAGAACTATCAGTGTGCAGCCTCATTCCAAACCTTCTGCCAGGTAAGCTGACTCCCATTAATAGATTCCCCAATGAATGTCGCTCCCGGACCGCTACACGTGGAAACCTAACTTCTCATTTTAGGAAAATGCTGTGTATGATTTATTCACCAGCGGGAGAAGCAAATCACATCCATGAATATTTCATATTTATGCCATACACCCCGGCAACACATTTAATGCATCACTTCAATAAAAACATTGCTCTTAAACCAAAGGAAACCCACCTAATTTGTCAGGGTGAATTCTGTGCATCAGGTACTCTGCAATTGCTTTGGTAAATCCAGAGCATTGTAATTTTTATTTATTTATTTCACTCTAACCTTTTATTTTTAACAGGCACTAATTCTCAGTGTATTATTCACGACCTGTATTCTTAAACTGAAGTTATGTTTTGAGTCAAATAGTCGAGGATGTACTTATGTTCTTAAAGAGAAGCTTCATTGACTGAAACAAAGCAAGAATGGATGAAACTACAAAGATTTAACCTCATATATAAAATATTCCACCAAATAGGATCATCTTAAAGCACAACAGTCTTTATATCTAGCCATAACTCAAAGGAATTATCAGCAGGTAATACAGCAACTGATAACCAGAAAAAGGAGGAAGTAAAGCAGTTAATCTATAATTTTTACATTAAAACACAGTAAATACAGCACCGGTCACGACTGAGAAGACATCACCATTTTGCCAAGCCAGCTTCCTTTATCCATGTCTCGAAAGAGCCAGGTCAGGAGAAAAAGGTAGAGAGGCAACCTTCTGTTGCCATCATAAACTTCCCACTTCATCCTGAACTTCCCAAGGATGGCTTCTGCCAGTAATGGTGGAGGCTTTACAGGGTTTTTAATGGAGTTTGCATAAAACATAAAGACCATCAAATTCACACCATGTTAAGTCAGGAGCGAAGTCAGTTTTACACATAGGAATACCCATGGCCTACTGGAAGCTTACTTTCCATTTTGAGGAAAGTTGGGAATTTTACTTCCAGTGGATACTATCACTGTTTCACTCCTCAACGGGAACACCCCCAAAAGCATACCTGTGAAAGCCACTCCTCATCCTCTTGCCCGCTGTGGTCAGATGCTAAGCTGTCGTATGATTCATGTCGAGTGATCGGTCCAGGGCTCCCTGGTGGAACCACTGAAAAAAACCCAGAAAATTGAAAAATCAGATTTACTGTTAAATGCTTTTCAAAAAAAAGCTGTTTCAGTCTGCTCTTGGTACAGCAACGTATATATTTTCCTAAATCGATGACAATATGTTGGACCACAGAAAGAGCTCAAATATTGACATCAAAAGTGATGAAAAGATTTCTGTTCTTTGACTGCAATGTATCCATACAGCCACTGTGACAACCCAATTGTCTCTTCTTTTAATCTTAAGTACTTAATGAACATACCGAACAGCTCAATACAGAGGACAACCCTCTGTTTTGAGGAACTGAACGCTGTGAAATGCCGCTGTCAATGATGTAAACCTTTTCTACAAACTTCTCATAATTTGAATTGTTCTAAAGCACACTGATGAGAGCTATCCTGAGGCACTGGTACCTGTACTGACTTACCACAGAGTACTTCCAAGACTTCATGAACTGAATTATCAGATCTCTCATTTTGACACTAACGTAGTTAATTTAAAGCTGGCTTCACAAACGACTTGATTTTTAGGATTTGACTTTTTTGCAGTTTAATTGGAAGCGCTTCATCATCATCTTAGTGTCACCTTTTCATGACAGTAATAACAATATATTAATTAAGAACCCATAAAGAATTAGAGTTTGATGTTTCATTTGTTACGAAGACTAAATACTGAGATTATTTCACTGGGCTGTAAAGTACTAGAAATTCTGTATTCAGGCGTTGCATTGCATTGCAGCAGTACTGTGAAATTATTCTGGACAGATAAGAAAAAACACTTTTTTCAGCTGCAGGTGACACTGATGACTAGAAAGATATATTAGCTCAAATTCATCAGCGGCTATCAAACACAACAGTCCAGACACAGCCTCCAAGAAGACCACAACCTCCAAACTCCTGCACGCCGGAGCATCTGCTCCCAGTCACTACCAGAGATCCAAGGCTGTGGAAATTTTTGGTTTGACTCAACATCAGATCTGTCCACAATGCTCATCACAAACCTTTTCCTGACAGCACCATGAAAACCTTACGTTACTATAACTGCTTAAATACTTAAGTCGCTACTGTTTTCAAAGGACTGGTACCAAAAAAAAATAACCCCAATTGACAGAGCAAAACAAAGTTAATTTTCTTCCTCTGTTCACTACTCTCATTTGTCTTCACACGAACTTACAACAACAGAAAAATGCAAGTTCTTCGGCTCTGTAGACTGCATGAGATCCAAAACCATTTGAAAATGATTACCATATATACACACAACTTTGGGGAAAAACACAACTTAGTGTTCAAATGTTACCACAACAAAAGAGAGAGAATCATAGACTCCTCACTGTAGAGATTACTATTTCATGATTCCTTGTCCCTGAGTCATTCAAATATATCAGCAAAGCTTACAGCTTAGCTCCTTCACTTCCTATGGCGGCAGCATTACACTGCCCTAACTAAAGCTCCACACTTGAGAAAGCTGAAAGAGTTTAGAAAAAGCAAAATGCAAGCAAGCACCCTAGATAAGAAAACAGAAGGTATTTTTCATTTTCTTGTACCTGCTTACTGTCAGGGGCCCATTGGAGGCCTGGATTCAATACCAAGAAACCATACTCACTTGGAGGGAAGAGCAGACACCACACCGCAAGTTAAAAGAAGGAAATGCAACAATGGGAGTTTTACTTTGGTAGAACAAGAGAGTTTTACGCTACAGCATTAAGATACCGGATAATCCTAAAATTAGAACAAATTTTTTTATATTCACATAATCTAAAAATGACTCCAAGTTTTTAAAATTGAATTTTAAAAACTATATTATCACAGGGTTGACCTTTATGTGTTAAGTTTTGATCCACTACAAATTTTTACAGCCACATTGTAAACCCCTGATAATAGGAGTTTATAATGGCAAAGCAGACACAATTGTAACCATAAATACAGAACGGCGCCTCTGTAATATAAACAGCTCAGGGTTTTCATAAATCCATACACTGTATGAAATAAAGGGATTTTCATCCTGTTTGTATATGTGGGTTTCTGAGCCCAGCCTCAGCTGTGGAGCCATTTCTAACACCTCTGCACCGCAGCGTGTCCTTACTCTGAAACCTGCAATATACCAAATTCAGTTCAGGGTCCAACTTATTAAAGAATTATTTCAAGTGCCATATACATGAGGACAGTTTCTTACCAAGTGTCAGGTTTTTCCCACGAGACACTCCGCATCTGCCATATTCATTGAAACCAACACGATGGGTGCCTGCACCTACGCGTACGCACACCTCAGCAACCACGGACCTTGTTTCAGCGCTGGGCGTTCATCGCTTCTCAAGGTAATATAGAAACTACATTCATCTGCTTCATTACAACCCTGACAGATCTACTTCAATGCCTTACGGATGTGTCCGTCTAGCCCATATCAAACTCGCATTAAGCACACGCACACCATCCTGGATTACAACAGCTGACGATTCACAGCCAAGATCTGAATATGAAACCGTCATGCCCACACTTACTCCTTACCCGGAAAGTTTATATCTGAAACCAACGAAACAAAAACATTATTTTGACACATTTTGCTGTTGCCCTAATCTTCCCCATATCTCCTGACTCCCCTACAATAAATTCTCCTGACGGCAGTAATGCCTGTTTCGGAGGGCACAGCTGATCAACTGCAGGCGTTCCTGTTATTGAACTCCGCTAACAAACTCTTCATGACTCTAGCAGATGTTTTTGCTTTCAAACCAACAGAAACTTTATGGACTGTTCTGATTTTTTTTTGTTCCTTCTATCCCAGGGGTAACTACTAGAGCTGTCAAGATTAGGGAAGCTGCTAGCTGACTAGCTCTGAAAATACCAGCCCAGGGAGCAGCACCCACCCTGCCTTCTCTCCATACTTCTCCCTTGCATTTCACTGGAGATTCAAGACAGCATTACAGTGAAAAAGAAATTCAAACTGAAGAGCTTTGGTCCTACGCTGTATTGCCTTTTCCTGAGGAACCACAGCTTTGCGCATTTCAGTGCAGCTTCAGGCTGCATTAACTCTTTCTAGCAAAACGTGACGACATGCTGAATTCCACGGAAAAGCTCTGCCTTAGAGTTCACCAGCAGGGCAACAGTGATAAAGCCTTAGCTGAGGTCAAACCTCAGTAATTTATTTCAGTATTTAATAAAATAGCATTTATGTACCACACCTATCACAAAAGCAGGCGTTTAGACAGAGTCTGGTTTTGATAGCAGGATCCCGTAACGATGGTCCCAGCCTCACCACAGGCAAAGCAAGGTCCACTCCCACTGCCCTTCGTGGGAGCACGCAGTGTTTGCTGAGATATGACCTTAGAAGACAAGTGATCCTTGCTGGAGATTTGCCATCGCTGTACTGCTCATTACGGATACACATATGGTCATTTTTTTCTAGTTAAAAATGGCCTTGAAGTTATAGGAACAAATACGTTCTAAAAATGTAAAACTGATTCTATCTTCATTTCTGGGTCACACACCTTTGCACTGGTATCAGGTTCCTAGACGAGATTAATTTAAGTCTGGAGGGACATTTCCAGGAATTTGAGCTCAAAAGTAATCTTTTCTCTTCCAGCTTAATTCTGTGAAAATCTGAATTCGCACTGGAAACTATGGCAGCCTCTTACACATCAGTGAAGCTATTCTTATGCTAGAACACAGAGCTTTTTGCATTTCCAAAGAATTTCACTATAATGCAAGATAACAAATCATAAAATTAGAATTCTTCAAAAGCTTTGCAGCAAGTAGTGCTTTTTTCCAGCACTACTGTAACTTCTCTTTCATTGGGAAAAAGTCACAAATAGCACACAGACAAGGAGCAAGCAAGCCCTTGTTGCACAGAGATATTTTACTGATAATTGCAGGCGGTTTGTACCTTCCTAAAATAATAAATTCAAATGCTTCATGCCTGAGCTATGCCAATTTTTTGCTATTCTTACACCAACATCTGGAACAAACATATATCAAATATCAGAATGCAATTGAGTTTGTTTAATCTAGAAATACACAAACACGCGGAAATTTGTACAATTAGGTGGAGTGAAAAAGTACAAAGAAAATCGAGTGTTTATTAAAAATCTAAGGTGAGAATTAGAACATACAACTTTTGTTTATGCAGTATAACAGGACATGAGCTTCTAAAGTCAGCTTATAAATGCAAAAAACCTCCATAAGGAAGCATTCAACGTCACATTTTAAAAACCAGAGTGCTACCTACAGCAAAAAATCAGAGCTTTGCCGTAAATATTTGGCAAGGGGCAAAAAACATCTTTGAGCTGCTCAAAAAATACAGAAGCACCTTTAATCTTTGTCCTCCCTCAAGTGAAAAGTGATCTGCATCAACTCTAAATCTGGAATACATTCCCGTCCTTCCATCCTGACTAGCTCTACTGAGCCACTCCACATCTAACTAAGGAAAAACAGAATCTGTGAAAACTGTTGTTCTTCATCTACTTTCATGACTTGAACACTGTCACCTCATTTTCTGCCCTCAAAATCAAAGCTGCAGGTGCTTACCCATCATCTAAGGTAATTTTTAGAATTTACAGACTCCCTTTTCTGCAGTCACAGGATTAATTTTGCCACTATATTGAAGAAAGATTATTAAAGGCAAGGGACTGAAAAAAAACATATTACAAATGTAGTAATTTGGCTGATAATTGTTAGTGCCAGGAAAACCGCACAGAAGTGACTGTGGAGACAAAAGTTTCAATACCAGGCAAAACAAAGGCCGAAATAAATCTGAGCTGATATTCCTCTGAAACTCCAGGACCTAAATTCACACAGTTTAGTGATGAAGTAGGAAAAAACCCCAGTGTTTTGAAACTTTTCCATGATACTTAGTGACAAATAAAGCAACCAAACAATTTCCATTAACCTCAAGTAATTTGCATAGGCATTCCT